CAGTTTCCTCAGGTCTGGCCTCTTGCTGTTGAAGATGATCTAGCAGCTCATCATGGTTAATTCTTCATTGTCCTCCTTCACCAACTCTTCGACATCCTCCCCACTAACCTCCAACCCCAAGGACTTTCCCAATGCGACAATGGATTCCTCAACTGGCATAGGATTCTCAGGTTAGCCTCAAACCCTTCAAAATCCCTTTTGTCTACACATTCTGGCCACAGTTTTTTTCCAAGCAGAGGTTCAAGGTCCTCTTAGTCACTTCCTCCCAAGCCTTACCTATAAGGTTTATACAATTGAGGATATTAAAGTGATCCTTCCAAAACTTTTAGAGTCAGTTGAGTTTCAGTATCACTACAAGCACTTTTGAAACATAGATTTTGTGTACAGTTTCTTGAAGTTGGAAATGACCTGCTGGTCCATGGGCTGCAGGAGAGGAGTGTTATTAGGATGCAAAAACTTTACCTTAATGAAGCTCATGTCCCCAGAAAGTCGCTCTGCAAGTCTGTAGGATGACCAGGGGCATTGTCTAATACCAGGAGGCACTTAAGGTCTAATTTCTTTTCAATTAGGTAATTTTTCACAGTGGGGGCAAATGCATGGTGTAATCAGTCATAGAAAAAGTCCCTAGTGACCCATGCCTTACTGTTTGCCCTCCACAGCACACACAAATTAGCCTTGAGGATATTCTTTTGCCTGAACGCTCTGGGAGTTTCTGAGTGATGCACCAATAAAGGCTTCACTTTGCAATCGCCACTAGCATTGGCACACATCAGAAGAGTAAGCCTGTCTTTCATAGGCTTATGTCCTGGGAGTGCCTTTTCCTCCTGAGTAATGCAGGTCCTGCTTGGCAATTTTCTTCAGCCTCAATGTACGTATTGAATTCATGCACATATTTTTCAGCCGCTTTGTGGTCCGAACTGGCAGCCTCACCATGCCTTGCCACACTGTGTATGCCACTACGATTCTTAAAATCTTTCAAACCAACCTTTGCTGGCCTTAAATTCACTCACATCACCACTAGTTGCAGGCAATTTCTTTACCAAATCATCATGCAACTGCCTAGCCTTTTCACAAATGATCGCTTGAGAGATGCTATCTCCTGCTATCTGTTTTTCATTTATCCACACCAATAACAGTCTCTCAACATCTAACACTAGTGAGCTCTGTTTCGAAAACAAAGTTGCACCTTTTGCAACAAAAGCTTCCTTGATTGCTGTTTTCCTGCTCACTATAGTAGAGATGGTTGATTGGGGTTTTGTATACAACCTGGCCAGCTCCGACACATGCACTCCACTTTCATACTTTGCAATTTCAGTAGTCATTAGCGCCTTTTTTCTCGAAGGTTTGGCACTAGAAGCTTTCTTGAGGCCCATGGTTACTTATTTGCAGAAACAAGCACCAAAAACAGTGATAATATGGAATGTACCGAATGTATCCTTAGATGCGTGCACACTGGCTGGCTTGTAAACACTGGCACACACGGGGCAGTTCAGGCCACACGTGGACACATCTCGTACGAATCGTATCGAATGTCGGGTTTTCCATTGAATGTCGAGGCAAAATTTTTGCGTTAAAATGCATCAAATGTTGGATTTATTGAGTGTCGATGCCATCGAATGTCGAGGGTCCACTGTATTCACAAAAAATACATTTTTTAAAGAATAACTCGTATAGTTTAACATACATATACAGTGGACCCCCGCATAACGATGGCATCACATAGCGATTAATCCGCATACCGCTTACTTTAATCGCAAAAATTTTGCCGCGCATACCGATTAAAAACCCGCTCACCGATTTTCGTCCGAGACGCGTCCAATGTGCGCCCTCAGCCAGCCTCGCATGTGCCGCCCGTGCCATTGTTTACCAGCCAGCCTCCGCGGTAACATCCAAGCATACACTCGGAATATTTCGTATTATTACAGTGTTTTCGGTGCTGTTTCTGGAAAATAAGTGACCATGGGCCCAAGAAAGCTTCTAGTGCCAACGTACACCAATAAGGGTGAGAATTCCCATTGAAATGAAGAAAGAGATCATTGATAAGTATGAAAGTGGAGTGCGTATCGCCGACCTAGTCAAGTTGTACAAGAAAACCCCAATCAACCATCGCTACTATTGTGGGCACCAGAAAGACAATCAAGGAAGCTGTTCTTGCCAAAGGTTTAACTGTGTTTTCGAAACAAAGATCGCAAGTGATGGAAGATGTTGAGAGACTCTTATTGGTGTGGATAAATGAAAACAGCTGGCAGGAGATAGCGTCTCTCAAGCGATCATATGTGAAAAGGCTAGGAAGTTGCATGAGGATTTAATTAAAAAATGCCTGCAACTAGTGATGATGTGAGTGAATTTAAGGCCAGCAAAGGTTGGTTTGAGAGATTTAAGAAGCGTAGTGGCATCCATAGTGTGATAAGGCATGGTGAGGCTGCCAGTTCGGACCACAAAGCGGCTGAAAAATATGTGCAGGAATTCAAGGAGTACATAGACAGTGAAGGACTGAAACCTGAACAAGTGTTTAATTGTGATGAAACAGGCCTGTTCTGGAAGAAAATGCCAAGCAGGACCTACATTACTCAGGAGGAAAAAGGCACTCCCAGGACATAAGCCTATGAAAGACAGGCTTACTTTGTTGATGTGTGCCAATGCTAGTGGTGATTGCAAAGTTAAGCCTTTATTAGTGTATCACTCTGAAACTCCCAGAGCGTTCAGGCAAAAGAATGTCCTCAAGGATAATTTGTGTGTGCTGTGGAGGGCAAACAGTAAGGCATGGGTCACTAGGGACTTTTTCTATAACTGGTTTACACCATGCATTTGCCCCCAATGTGAAAGATTACCTAATGAAAAGAAATTAGACCTTAAGTGCCTCCTGGTGTTAGACAATGCCCCTGGTCATCCTACAGACGTGGCAGAGCGACTTTATGGGGACATGAGCTTCATTAAGGTGAAGTTTTTGCCTCCTAATACCACTCCTCTCCTGCAGCCCATGGACCAGCAGGTTATTGCAAACTTCAAAAAACTGTACACAAAAGCTCTGTTTGAAAGGTGCTTTGTAGTGACCTCAGAAACTCAACTGACTCTAAGAGAGTTTTGGAGAGAGCACTTTAATATCCTCAATTGTGTAAACCTTATAGGTAAGGCTTGGGAGGGAGTGACTAAGAAGACCTTGAACTCTGCTTGGAAGAAACTGTGGCCAGAATGTGTAGACAAAAGGGATTTTGAAGGGTTTGAGGCTAACCCTGAGAATCCTGTGCCAGTTGAGGAATCCATTGTGGCATTGGGAAAGTCCTTGGAGTTGGAGGTTAGTGGGGAGGATGTGGAAGAGTTGGTGGAGGAGGACAATGAAGAACTAACCACTGATGAGCTGATAGATCAACTTCAAGAGCAAGAGGCCAGACCTGGGGAAACTGGTTCAGAGGAGGGGAGAGAGAAATTGAAGAAGTTGCCTACTACAAAGATAAAGGAAATCTGTGCAAAGTGGCTTGAAGTGCAAACCTTCATGGATGAAAATCACCTCACACAGCTATTGCAAGCCGTGCTGGTGATTATTACACTGACAATGTTGTGAAACACTTTAGGCAAGTCATAAAGGAACGAGAGGTACAGGCCACTATGGACAGATATCTTGTGCGAATGAAGTCCAGTGACTCTGAAGCTGGCCCTAGTGGCATTAAAAGAAGAAGGGAAGTAACCCCAAAAGGACTTGCTACCTCAAGTCCTAATGGAAGGGGATTCCCCTTCTAAACACTAACACTCTCTCTCCCCTCCTCCCATCCCATCAATCATCACCAGATCTTCAATAAAAGTAAGTGTCATGTAATTGTGCATGCCTTTTTCAGTTTGTGTGTATTAAAATTAACATTTCATGTGGTAAAAAATTTTTTTTTTCATACTTTTGGGTGTCTTGCACGGATTAATTTTATTTCCATTATTTCTTATGGGGAAAATTCATTCACATAACGATTATTTCGCATAACAATTACCCCTCTTGCATGGATTAAAATCGTTAACCGGGGGTCCACTGTAGTACTTAACCCTTAAACTGTCGAAACAGGTCTATGTTCACATGCGTAGTGCTCCAAAAGTAGATCTACATTTTTTTTACATATTTTCAAATATAACAAAAAAAAAACGTAGATCAAAGTTTTTTTACACGTTTTCAAATGTAAAAAAAAAAAAAAAGAAGATCTACGTTTTTTTTACATACTTTCAAATGTTGAAAAAACGTAGATCTGCGTTTGGACAGTTTAAGGGTTAAAACATACATATACTATTAAATGAGTAATACAATACATAAATAAACATTTAAAAATCACATTTACGTACCTTTATTGAAGACTCTTGTTGGCATCTGGAAGATAGGGAGGAGGAGAGAGGGAGGACTTATTATTGCCTCCACCACTGCCTCCACCACTGCCTCTACCACTGCCTCCATCACTGCCTCCATCACTGCCTCCATCACTGCCTCCATCACTGCCTCCATCACTGCCTCCGTCACTGCCTCCGTCACTGCCTCCGTCACTGCCTCCGTCACTGACTCAACCACTGCCTCCACCACTGCCTCAACCACTGCCTCAGCCATTGCCTCCACCACTGCCTCAACCACTGCCTCCACTGCTGCCTCAATCACTGCCTCACTGCCACTATGAAGTTTCTTTGGGCCCATGGTGACTTATTTCACAATCACAATTAATAAACAAGCACTAAACACAATGAATTTATTGTGAAGTGTTCGGATGAGCGCTCAGGGTAATGTTCACTCAAGGATAAACAAGCTAGACTGGCTCACGACGCCTGCACGCAGGCACGGACAGGCGGACAGGTCTGGTACACCGGCCGAAACCCAGGGCAATGGTTGAAACTCGGGATAAAATTTAGCCGAAAAAAGTGGTTGAAACTTGAAGCGGCCAATACTCGGGATTCCACTGTACTTAAAATGCTGTAAAGCAGGGTCCTTCTGTATAGGTTTAATTGAAGTAAATATATTGATACTCTTCTCTTTGCAGCTGTTTTGGTGACCGTCAGTGACAGAATGAGTGACATTGGTGCGTGGTTTAATAACATACCCCCGCTGACCAAAACTTGGTTCGGGGGTACGATTGGCTTATCACTACTTGGTCGATTTCGGCTAATCAACCCTCGTTGGGTAATTTTGACCTTTGAAATCTTTCAGAGTTTTCAGGTGAGAAAATTGTAATACTGTAACTCAGATTATCAGTATTATTTGGTCTTCTTTAAGGAATATAAATAAGAATGCTTTAAGGGTACAATGTTTAAAGATTAAAAATGCATAAGTTTTGTAATGAAATGGCAAGTAGTTTCTTGTATTAATGATTGTTTTAGACAGCTTACCACTCCCATTACTGTATGATTTATAAATTTGCATTTCAAAAACAAAATGTTTCTTTCACAGTTATGGAGGCCTGTGACGGCATTGTTTTACTACCCCATAACCCCACAGACGGGCTTTCATTTTCTTCTTAACTGCTATTTCCTGTATAACTACTCTCTCAGGTTAGAAACAGGTAAATATAAAAATTTGTACATAGCTATATTTTTCATTATTTTTTTCAGAGCTTCAATAATTAGTTATTATAAAAGATTTTTTGATGTAATTGATGGTTTGTGTGCACAACACTGTCATCATATTTGTTTCTCTGATAGGAATGTGATGGCATGTACTGTATTTGGAAACTAGGTTCCAAAAGTACATATATTTCAGTTCACTCTTCACAAGAATAGAATTCTTCTTTCATGAATTTGCAGGCCATTGGACACCCGGTGGCCTGGAAATGTGTTATGATGGTAGCTTCCTGCCACAGATTTGTTGAGTGAAATACTCTGGAATTGGATTAATGTAAGCATAAAGCATACATACTGTTAACCTAAGTCAGTGACTCTGTGCTAGATCATTTTATGGCAGAAAATACTGTCCACACTTTTAAAAAGGGAAGGGTTATTTAACCCCTTGACTGTTGCAACCCCCAATCCTGAGGTGTCTCCTGGTGTCACAAAATTTCCCAAAAAAAAAAAAAATTTTTTCTTATGAAATGATAGAGAATCTTTTTCCCGATTGTAATGACACCAAAAGAATGAAATTTGATGGAAAACTGATGGAATTACACTCTTGCGAAGTTAGCGACCTCGGCGATATTTACAAATCGGTGATTTCGCCCACCTTTGAGCCCTATTTTCGGCTAATTCCATTGTTCCAGTCGACCAAACTATAGCTATTTCTTTAGAACTCCATTTTTTCTATCGATTGAGTACAAGAAATTGCCCTTTTTACCGATTTCAACTCCCCAAATAATGTGGTCAGAAATTTGAAATTTTTGGCCAATTTCACTAAAATTAAAAAATAGACAATTTCATTAAAGTCCAAATGAGCTTGCAGACCTTCCGGGCTCAAAATAACTTTTTTCTTTTTTCATCATATGTCTCCGGGCCCTCTCTGATATTACCTTCCCCTTTCTTTTTGAATTTTTTTCAAGCAAAAAATAGAAGTTTTACTGCTTTGCAGACTACGAAAAATTTGAAAAATTGACAAATAATGTCAACCCATTCATGACTGCATTTTAAAATGGCAAATTTGGACTTTTTATTGGAAAATGACATCATTTGTTTACTTTTAAACATCGGCAAAAATCAAACATTTCCCCACTTTTGAGCTCCATTTAAAGGGTTCTTTTCATGAAAAAACCAATAAAAATCACCTCTTTTTGTAATATTTTTCCCTTTTATAAAATGAGACCAAAAAAACGAAATACAACCATAAATACTTATAAAAATAGACCACAAATAAATTTTTTAATAAAAAAAACTGGTCGGATTTTTTTTTTTCTCTCATTATGCACTGCGTGCGCAGGAGTTTTTTTTTTTATATGGTGCACACGACCACACAGACCATTCTCTCCTTTGGGCCTACCAGCTTTCTCCTTTTTTGTTTTGAAGCCGCTAAATTTTTGAGTATATATACGTCAAACGCGGTGGCTCGTAAGATATATATACTACCGAAACAGCAAAGGGTTTTTAAAATAACAGGGAAAGTACTCTTGTGTAGCATGACAATATCACCTTGCCACCTTTTTTATATAGTTGATTGCTAAATATTCTGATTCAAATGATGATATTTGAAGAAAGCCTTGGGTATGAAAATATTTTTTAGTTAAAAACAAAAGGGGGAAGTTTTAGTTATATAGAGGTATTGGGAAAATGGGGGAATATTTTTTTAGGGAAAGTTTTAAAAGTTGAGAAGAGAGTAGCCCTGATTTCATCAGGGCAGGGAGGTATAATAACTTTTTGGATGAGGAAGAACCAGTGTGAGGGGGGGAAAGTTCATGAAGCAGTGGGTAAATGAAAGGGGGGAAAAGGCTGGGTTGATTGACAGGACAAAAATGTTAAAAACAAGTGGGGATATGGTTTTTTTAAAGGGTTTGTGTTTTGTTCATAGATGTAGAAAAGGGGGGCGGGACCTAGAATTTTCAGAGAGCAGCATTTAGGATGAATAAAAACGAAAATTTTTGGGGCCTGAGGCGTTGGAGTGGAGCAGGGGAATATTTTTTGAAAGGGTTTAGGGAACTGGGTTTGTTGAATTGAGTCCTGGAGGGGGAAGTACAGTGTCTGCCTTTCAAGGAGGGGTTTGAGATATTGACTGTTTTGGGTGACACTAAATTGTAAAAACGGCAACTTTGCAAAGACAGGTTTGTCTGAAAGACGGTGAAGTGTTGAATGAAGTGAAAATTTTCTTTTTTTGGTCACCCCCTTGGGGGGAAAAGGCCGGGGGTTTGGAAAAAAGAAAAGTCTGTTAGTACCCATGTAAGGTATGGGAAGTTTTGAAAGAATTTAAAGGGAAGCCAGAGAGCAGGATCACAGATGAGCAGAGAGGTTTTGGGAAGGGTAGAGGATTTGTAGCCAAGTTTTTTACTTTAAAACGCTTTAAAAGTAAAACAAAATTTAGATAAGGCTAAAGAAGTTTTTTTTTGTATTTATGGATATGGGAAAAAGACATATGAGCAGGTGGATGGGGAAGCAATGTGGCAGATGTTTAAGTGAATAAAATACTTGGTAGGTTATTTAAAGTAGTTCCTTTCATAGAAATTGGGGGACTTATTGTTTATTCTCTATCTCCTTTTTTACAAATTCTTTTTTTAAATTTTTTGGGAAATTTTCCCTCAAATTAATTTTGGACAATTTTTAATCACTTTAAATATGCTTCTTTTTCTTTATGGTATATTTTCTGGGGGGACCGGGCGATTTACCCTTCATGCTTTTTTTTTTTCCCCTGGATCTGTTGTGTGATTGTGGGACTGCTGGGGGGAAATGTTCTTTACTTGAGGGTTTCCCATGGAAAGGGTTGCCCCCTCCGTTTGGTGTAAACTCAATAAAGACACTATAGAAAACCCTTTTGGTTTTGGACACATTTTTAAAAACCCATGTAATTCCCCGGGGCCCCCTCACAATTTCAACATAAACCCATTCTTGGAGGGTAAGTGTAGGTTTTGTTGTCTTGAGATGTTTATTTTTTTCTCTTGCTGCATTTTATTCTGTGTACCTATCTAAAATAAAAATTTCTTCCCCATTTCCCCCCCAAACCCCGGAAATAAACCATCATGCTTTTCGTACAAACCTTTCCACGTGAAATAACGAATGATAAAAATTTTGGGGACACGTGTAAACATCGGGGTATTTTTAAAGTGTAGTTGTTTTGCCCCCCCAAAGTACACCAGTAAAATTTCCCAGTTGTCCCTTTTGAACTGCGGGAAAACCCCCATTCGTCCAATCGAATAAACCCCCACCTAACCATCTTCCCCCTTACCCCCCTTCATAAATTTCCTTGCTCACACTCCAGTTTTTGGGCAGATTCCAAAAACTGCTTGTCCCCACTCTGATGCAACACTGTATATGGTGTGGAGAAAGTGCCGAAAAGTTGATAAAAAACGGACACAGATGCAGAGGAGTCTTTTATTTGTGAAAACATTTCCCCAAAGCTCATTTCTTCATGCACTGAAAAGCCAGAGTTTTTTTTGAAATACTAATGCCCCTAAAATTGCGGATACTGAAAATACTATGGTATACCCCAATTTTAAGCTGGTTTTCAAAAGCAATTGAAAGAAATTTTTTAAATCATTTCCCCTGTACTGAAAAGAAAAGTGAAAAAATTGAATTCTTTATTGCTAATACTATAAAAAATTGTATATTTTTTTGGATGCCATCCCATTGGGGCAAGATCTCCCCCCCTTTCCCAGTTACTTTTCCCACCTGAATTTTAACAAATCTTTTGTATGTATAAAAAGGGGGGACTATTATAAAAATGTTTTAAAAAATTAATTTTTTCATGTCAATTTTTGGGTAAAAAAACCCTTAAAACCTACCTTTTGGCACATTAGTTTCGTACATTTCATCTCAGGGAGGGGTATGGGGCACTCTTGTAAAAATTTGGAAAAAAGGGTGATGTTCAATTTCTCTTAAATTTTCCAGTTCTTTCAGAATCATGCCATTTCACTTTTAAACCTTTTCCTTAAAAAACCCTGCATTCATGCTTTTTCCCCCCCCCTCGTCCCCAAACAAACACCTTTCATGCCAGTTCCTGAATTTTTTTTTAAAAATTTGATTTACCACCTGACTAAAAATTTTTTTAAAACCTTTTTTTTTAAATTCAACTTCTATTTCTTTTCAGTCTCCATGTATTTTCCCCCTTATGTTCATCATTTGTAAAAACCCACAGGGGTTTTTAGCACTCCATGAATAGGTAATATTTCCTGTGGGGAACTGAGAAATGTTTTTTCCCTCATAATTTTTTACTTAGCCCTAAAAGACACTTTGCTGATGTTTTAAACTATTTTTTTAATTTTTTTTTGCCCTTTCTTTGTCACCCTGGGTTAAATTCCCGGTTGCCCGCTTACAAGTTTCTACACTAGAATCACTTCGGTTTTGAAACAGAAGGCCTGTTGGGCCCCAGGATGAGAAAGGGGTTTTTGTGTGGTCGTGTGCACAATAAAAAAAAAAAAATCTGGGCCCCCACAGTACTCAGGGAAAAATGCCATTTTTCACCATTGATCACCTGGTTTTGCTGAACTGATGCTTTTTAGCCCTAAGTGCTTTAAGCACTTACTATTAAACAGTGACACTTTCACTACTGGGATATAAAATTATGAACCCAAAAGTTCTATGGATTCAGGAGAGAGCCCCCAAAAATTTGACGGGGGAAAATGACAAGAATACACGGGAAACCGGGAAAACCCCCAGAAAACCCCAACTTTTAATTTCAGGCATCCCCCCTTTCTCGGGTGAAATCCTTTGATTTAAAGTGAAAAATAATTTTCCCCGTGGTTTGGACATAGATGTGATAGAATTGAAAAAAGTTATAAAAGGGTTTGATTTAATGTAATTGATTTGATACGGGGATAATCAAAATTTAAAATTTGTTTGTGAAGGATTAGTTTTTATGCATGCTGCATGTGACTTGGTAGTGGGGCATAGAGCCATCCACTATTTCATTTTTTTCCATTCCCACAGAATAATGAGCGCCCCT